CCCCAGTGATGCCATCACCTCGATCAGTTATTCATTCTCCGCCCCCCCACCCCCCTGTAATGTAGGCTGTAGTAATCTGGCTGGAAATGCTTGAGTTGAATGCCAGATGTTGTTTTTACTGGGCATTTATGAAAAGCTGTCTGCCTCGCCTCAGTGATGTCATACACTTACTTGCAGGGAAGGAGGAAAATGTCATATGCCATTGTTATATATATCTGTAAGTAGTGATAATTTGCTGAATTATTTGAGATGTCATGACCCAGTCATGCTCAGTTTAGTTTAAAAGGTTTCTACAGTAAGTGATTTGTCATTTCCGACTGATTTGTCCAGACCTAATAATTTGCTCTCCTCTGGTTTGCACAATGTGACGACTAAACCAGTTAAAAAAACATATTTTCTACAATGGTGAAAGTCAGTTCTCCTAAAATGGTTCTAGACTGAAAACACTCATGTCTTTGAAATGAGCTCTTATTGAAATGTTCAGAAAGGAAGAAGAAAACAGGGGTGTTGTTGTAAATAACTTATCAGGGCTATACCCTCCTCAGTGCCGACTATCGCCTCCTCCCAACACACACACACACACACACACACACAATGTACCATACAATACAATTCAATTTCTGCCTCAGCATCAGCTTGGGCTAACACGGTCAAGCAAATGCCTATTTTCTGAATGGCCTGGGGGAGTTACGCTTTTCAGCTTATCAACTTTTATTAACCTTAGCACTGAGGTTTGCTCTTTGATTTAGATTCTTTGGGAAACACTGAAATTGGATTTTTTTTTCTCCCAACTCTCACTCCTGCTGTGACATATGCTCAACAACTTGTTACACAGAGGAGAAAAAAGTAAATGCTTGCTTTGGTTTGTTTGTGGCAATATTCTTTATCACAAGAGCCCATAACTTCTATGGCTTCTTAATTTCATGTCTTTCGGGTGTCCTTATCTCCCATGTTAACATGCATTAAGTGTTATGACCAGTAGCAAATGTCTGATATGAGATGCAGAGTGTAGCGAAGTCGAGGGGCCTATTGGTTCTGAGGGTATTTTTGGACACTGTAAATTTGCATGTCAAATTTTCCTGTTATGGTAACATCTATGTTCCTCAACATACCATCATGGAATAATTTAACAATAGCTTAACAATATGTTATTTTATGTATAAAGTGGCTTAAAAGCGTTTTTTATTTTTATTTAAAAACGGATCACACAACTGCTTGAATGTGAAAGGTGTCGCTCGTAGTGATGAACCCAAAGAAAATGATCACCCATCTCTGTAGTTCTCTTCAGATCTATGGAGCTTTTATTATTTTGGACCTGCAACTTTACTATTTTCGTTCACTCTCACAGCTCTCATAGTGTTGCTTCTCACCACATCAGGCAGCCACCTTCAGTGACAAAGCTCTAAAAACCCGCTGTATACTATAACCTCAGCACCAAATAACAGAGAGACACAGTTAACGTCTAGCCTGTGAATGTAGTGGAGCAGCCAATAACCCAGGTACAGTATTTTTCTCAGTTGGTGGAGACCAAAAACAGAGCTAAAATGAATCCAAATTAAAAACTTATGTTGCTCTTTGTCTGCAGGATATGTAAATAACTATAGGCTAAATTTATTTTGATAATTTGCCAGTGTTGTGTTTGTGGCTTGTTTACAGTGCTCCCAAGTGAAAAAAAAAAGTTGCTAGAATCATAAGAATTGACCCATAATCTGAAAGTAAAGTCATTCAGTGTGTCTAATTTCTAGCTTCTCAAGCCATAAGCAGTACAATCTAACAGGCTTTAAGATCAGTGATTGAATGTTTCTAACCATGGTGCTCTTTGGGAGTTGTAGTTGTATTCATTCCTCATGTTTTTTCATGTACACAATCTTCTGCCTTTTGACTTTCTATCATTTAACTAGAATTTTAACACGGTTTCTCTTAGTTTGCACTGTTGATTCAACTGGATGAGAAGTGCCCCAACCACAAGTCAACTTACATTATCTATGAGAAAATGAATAAGGTCTTTACTTCCTGACCCCTGAATGCCTACTCTGCTCCTCTTCGCACAGTATTAGATAAATACTGAATGCAGATTCAGCAATGTAGGCTCATTAAAGAGAAGAAAACAAAGTCCATACGGCATGGATAAGTTCACACATAATAACAGCGCACTGTGGCTGTACAGACTGTCTCTAAACCAGGCCTGCTAGGCTCCTGTCACTTATAGTGTCAAGGAAAACAAAGTGTGAAGCTTTGAAAACTGCCCTTTGCGTGAAGTGTGTATTTCCGCTTTCATTTTGCTTGGCAAGAAATTGTAGACTCCCCCCCCCCCCCCCCCGACTGGGCTCTGGATTATTAGCTTAAGCTCTCTAAAAATATCCCTTTGACTGTTTAAGCCTCTGACAGCAGTAACATCTCACACATTCTGATAGCTTTATACTAACTATGGCTGCAGAGGGCTCATGCACTCAGCCCGCCTTGTTATCTTTTACCTTGTTTGCCCGAGGAGGAGAAGGAGGAGAACTTACTGGCCCCCGAAATCTGCAACAGTCCTCTCTCCTTCGGAATCATCAAAGGCGAGCATGCAATCACAGCAATCTCCCAACAAACGAGATGCTTTTTTTTTTTTCTTTTTTTTTTTTTGAGCACGAGAGGATTTTGCCCAGATGTCACTCGAAGCACTTGTCATTGTTGCGACAGCTGTAGAGGCACATGGACCGTCATTTGAAAACTGTCGACCACAACATACCAAAACAGCACACGTCAAATATGAAACATACACAGCCTGAAACATAAGATTTTGGAATAGTAATGCTATGAGCCCTTTAAGGAACAGTGACTTTTATTGCCTATCATTTCAGTTTTATTGGCCTGCTTGTGTAGTCTCAGTAATTGCATATTTACCACCTTACAGTATTTATCATACAAATACATTAGGTTTAGCTGAGCTTATACTACCAAATATTTTTGATGTTGGCATCCATAACAGCTCATAGAAATTAATAAATTCCTAAAAGGGATTACTCTGTACACATGTGGCTCATAGACATTGCTTCAATTATCTTTTCTTCTAACACCCACTCTCTCTCTCGAAAAGCTTTTCTCACAAATATTATAGCTGCTAACTAGAGAGAGACGGAGGGTGAGATAGAGGCATGTGCAGCTCGACAGCACCATCGTTATTCCAGCCTTCATTCATGTGTCTCTTTTAAAATGTTATGAGATGAAATATCACTGTTTTGACAAGACATTTTCTAAGCTGCTCGTGTCCCTGCGAGATGCCTCATGCTCGTCTGTGACGGAGCGTTCCTGAGGAGAAAAGTCAATATGTGGTTGTAAATAAATGAAAACAAATGTGAGACCTAAGCCCTCGATAGATTGAAGAGGCGAAGGGAGGAGGGAAAGAAAAGACTACGCACCTTTACTCATTATAAAACTGCTCCTTGACTTCAGTGGCTAATTGACTAGCCTCTCAGTCTCTGTGTGTGTTGAAGGAGAAAGGGGGTGATGAATTGACATATTGCTGGCGCTGTGATGTTGATCCAATGCAGAAAGCCATGAGGCTTTTTCCTCCAGGGACCAGTAACCTTATTGTTCCATGTCATCTCCTCCCTATCTGTTTCAGGACCAGGTTGTCAACCTCTCCCCAAGGTCACGCAAACACCAGCACCCCCTCTGCAGATAATTGGATTATTTAAAATCATAGCATCAACTTATTGCCCCGTCTGGGGTCAAAAGTGAATTTAGTGCATGAGGTTGTCTGTCATGATTTGTGGCATCCTTTTGACCTGACAAGCAACAGCTTCTGTCGTCAGTTAAAGGATCATACCAGTGGTTTTGGCCTATTTACTGCTAATCAGATACTGTACATCACAGATAACCACATTGTAAACTATGCTGGTGAGTTTTAGATTTTTGGATGTATTTTCCCGACTATTCCGAGCTTCCATTGGTTTCCATTCATTTCTGTATTATATGAGAAATCAATTAACAGACCTTGAAACTTGTCTCAAAAGCTCTGATATGGTATAATTTTATAATTTTGGATACAGACACCATTGCAGACACCCACTGTTTTCCATCTGTTTCAACTCATTTCTGTGTGATGTGAAAATCAATTAGCAGAGTCTTGGAACTTGTCCCAAATTCCCAAGTCGGGACATGTTTTGGTTCTGCAGATCATGTATAAGTTACATTTTTGCTGAAAAATTTCAAATGCATGCCATATAATTTATGATTTTTGGATGTGTTTTCCCATTCAGCCATTGGTTCCCATTCATTTCTAAATTAGATGAACATCTTTTATCTGACTATTGAAACTTGTCCCAAAGCTCCTCAACTGCAAATAATATATACTTTTTGTCTGGTCATTTTCAAATGCATTATGTACAGTTTTAGATTTTCACCCTTCCGGGCACCCATTGGTTCCCATTTATTTCATTACGGTATGAAAATGACATGACAGACTCCTAAAACTTGATTGAGTTGTCTAATTCATAACAGTGAACATCCAATCTGCATGATTTTTTGTTAAATCGTTGTTGTATAGTAATGCAGTTAAATTGCAGATAAACATTGCATAAACATTGGTACAGGCCTTTAAATTGCACCTGTTAGGAAGCTGAAGCAACATATAGTAGATGCTGAATGCCTGTAGTGTTGGGGATTCCCAAATACCAGCACATATTCATGGTTTCAGTGGTGGTTTCATGGCTGGAGGCTGACATGGTGTTATCTCATGCTGCTATGGTAAGATGAGATGAAGTGGGGCAATAGATTAAATGGGTGGGCTGCATGCCTATTAAATCAGGAGTTGGCGGAGCAACACTAACTCAGGTTACTTATTCTCAAGTGACACGGCCACACATGTGAGGAGCAGTGTGAAGCGAGATGGCTTTACTTCCATGTCTGGAGTGTGACATTCTGCTCTGTTTCTGACTCTGTAATTAACCGCTCATTTGTGTGTGTGTGTGTGTGTGTGTGTATGTGTGTGGTTTTTTTTTTTTTATCTTTTCTAGGAGGCGGCCACATTTGCCAAAGAGCTGGGCTTTGAGGTGAGTTGACCAGCAATTGCACACTAAACAGATCCTAAAGGTTTATTTTTGCTGATAATGAAGTTCTTTTTGGACAGTGATTGATGTGCTATTATACTCTCCAGGCCTTGCAGCAGTTGCTATGGAAACCTGGCAGTCGTCATGGTTTCTTTGTTCAGCCAGCTCTCTGTTATGACGCACTCTGCTAGGTCTGCACCCAACATCGCCTACAGATGTTATTTATTGAATTTTGAAAAGCCTCTTGGGAAGCTGAGAAGTTGGGCATGGTTTCAAGCCTTTCTCTGCAGGCTCAGGGCTCATCAGGTTGCCTGGTTAAAAAGCCTCCTCATTATCTTCATTGCACTCAGGGATGATACTGTATGTCTTCTCTTCACTGCTATAGCATTACACCACACTAAAACACACTGTAGTCTTTAAATAACCAAATTACAGCCACCTGTGGTTTTACATTATAGAAATGAAAATTACAGTGCTTGTTACCCCATAGAATGTACACTATGTGTAAGTGGGGCTGCCTCTTAAGTGTAAAATGAATGCTCCCTTACTCTATTTTTTTTACTTGTTTTTTTGCATATTCCTCACAGTGCTATTTAAATGTGAAATCAAAAACACAAATTGTGCGTGAGTTTTTCAAAATGGGCTCAGGTATTTTAAGTGCCTTCTCTCTTTCAAAGGTAGAGCTGCCTTGAATATGGCTCTGCTCTGTGTGAATAATTGTCATCCAGAATCACTAACGGTGTGATCAACGTGACTGGAATAGAAATGCAATCCTGATGGCAGTGACAGGTTTAAGAGAGGAGTAGGGATGAAGGCAGGAAAAAAAACGGGGGGGCTCACATGAAAAAAAAAAAAACCACAAAGGGCAAAGTGTAGACTCTCCTAGTAGTTACAATTCTTTGACATTTTCCATGTCAACCTGATTTGCCAGAACACTCTGCAAAATTGTATTGGATGAATGTGTTTTCTCAGATAACATCAGTGGTGTGTACTGTACTTTCTGCATTTCTAGATGGATGCAGTTCAAAGAGGTTTTCTTCACAGTTGTTTTTTTTTTTCCCTCTTGTCACTTTATGATGACAATTTTCCTGGCATCGCACAAGCGGGCACACATATCTTACACTGACAAGTCTTCAAAATACGAATATATACACTATAGAATAGCCTCTAGTTTAAAACAGAAAATAGAATTAAAGGACGTTTGTTATTCAAACATACACAATGCATTTGTAATGTACTGTAATATGAGAACACAATAGTTCTGGCGATATTTTTCCTGTTATAAATAAATGCGTGTATAATCACATACAATAATCAAAAATCATGAGATTCAAGATTCATTACTGATCTTGGGAATAGTAGTTTGACAAAAGGTTCTCAACACAAGATCCGCTTCCTGGAAAATTTTCAGGGCTTTCAGTCAAATACCATGGCTTTCATCAGCGGAAGGACTTTGCTCAGTTGTCACGGAGAGGGTTAAAAGACGGTGTCTTGCGTCACATCCAACAACCTGTTATCACACAAATGGAATTATGTCAATGTAATTGAACCATCTCCATGGCAACTGAGCAAACTACATACGAGACATGGCTGAAAGCGCCCGAAAATTTCCAGCAAGCAGATCTTTCGGGAAGGATGTTCTGTCAGATCAAGTTCATGTAAAATTCCATTTGTTTAAGCATTAAACACAATTCCACATTCGTACAAACTGCAGTGACTCTTTTTGACAACATCATCCACAATCAATCACTCAGAGTTTTGCAAAATTATAGTTTAATCAATCAGAAAATTGAGAATTATCATCCAGCTGTAGCTCAGAAAAGACCAAAAAGTACAAAACACCAAAAAGAAATAACTGCTGTCAGAAACTAATGCACAGTAGTGTGTGGCCCTTTTGAGGGGCACTGTGATTGGATATTGTTGTAGCTGCAGCCCACTTGGCAATTTGTGATTCCAAAAACACCACATGATGCACTTTGGATGTATTATAAAACACTGTTATCATCACATTATGGATGACTAACAAAAGTGACAGCAGCACTTCTTCAGTCTAAATACAAGATAAAATGCTTGTCCTCTCCAAAACAGCAATCAGCAGATCTGAACACACTCGCCTGATTGTGATCTGTTTCCTTTAAATGCTCAAAGAACTATCTGCATCACAGCTCTAATTGAATCTTTCCCTGGCAGTGTTTCTCAAGCAGCCTGCAGTGCAGACAATCGGTTTCTCACTGGCTTCAACACAGAAGCACAATTTAACACCCTTGTAAAGCTTTCATATTTCACGGTTTGTTGATTTATGTCTGATCAATTGCCTCACAATCGTAAATATTGCCATTTGTCAGCAGTAAACCAAATTGACCATATCATTTGTCAATTCATTTGTTTTTTTGCTCACGCTGTACATTATGTTTCTGCATTATTTTGCCATAGGAAGTCGCCAGGTGAGTATTTCTGCCAGGCAAAAAAGAGGAAGTTGTCTATGTGTGTGCTTGTGTGTGTGTAGCTGTGCCCTGCTCAACAGCCATGATGCTTACCCTGCCACCTCTGGCCCCTTAGAACCTTAGTAGAGTAGAGCGCCTTTTTTATGTCAGGGAACATAAAACCAAAGGGTGACAATGTGCCGAAGCCTTGTGCGGTTTTGCATTCAGTGTCTGGAGGAGTGCTTGTGGTTACATCCAGTCACAGTGACAAATTGCCTTTTTTTTTTTTTTTTTCGCTGTCGCTTGCTAACAGCCTCTGTATTAACCTCACCATTAGCACTTACTTAGAGTGTTACACCCATTTTTCCTCGGCCCAGGGTCTCCCCGGACCTCTCAGGGCTGATTAAAGGACGTTTGGGAAGCATTTAGAGGTGTAAAAGCTCATTGGTTTGAGTGAGCCAGTGTGGCTGGTGGTATTGGGCTGGAAGCCTATCTGTCTGATTACTCCCATAACCACAGTATTTGCTCACCCTGAAGGTGCTGGAGTGTTAGCTTTGATACAGATGCTAGAGGCGTCCACGACCCTTAATGCTAGCTCCTCAGTGTGCTGTATTACAGAAAAGCAGAGTCCACCCCACTGTGAGATGGCGATAAAGACATTGCACCTGCTCATAGTACATCATGATGAGTTAATAATAAAGTAGCACTGACAGGTGTGGGTTTTTTTATCCCTCTCATGATCAAAGGCAAGCACTCTGGAGAGTTCTGTCGTCTCCAGGCGAGAATATCCATTCTGTGCAGATGCTGAGGAGAAATGGCCTGTTTCAGGAAGAGAATGATACAGTACACGCACCACATATCCCCTCAGCTTGCAGAAGTAGCTTTATCTGACAACAGCATATCTTCACACGCTTATTTTCATCTCACTTAGGTAATATGACATTCTAATACTTTGCAGCTCGCCTGTAACTGCATGGAAGCGTCATTGAGCGCTTCTATTGATCTTTTCTTAAAACGGTTTCATCGCCCATCTGGTTCCATTATCACTTGATCCGTCGGTCAGGATGGGAAAAATCTGACCTCTCTCATTCACAAGGGTGATCGTTGATTAAACTCCTCACACCTGGCTTGCCGTAACACATTCATTCAACGTAACATACTCACCCAGTGGTCTGGTGTTTTTTTTTTTACAGACAGATGACATCGCAGAGATTGCAAAGAAGACCCAAAACCTCCCCAAGGAGAACACAAAGAGGCAGCGAGTGGTGGTCTTCACTCAGGGCAAGGACGACACTGTTGCAACTGTTGGTAGGCCATTTTTGTTTTCCGTTTTTGTTGGCTTATCTGCACATACTTTCACTTAAGTACCACTCGAGGCCATCCCAACTTTGGCCCCTTTTGGACATCTTTACCCTTCATTTAAGCCTCATATCTCAAGACTGCAGAACACAGCCTTAAATAGATGCTCGATCGCTGACTGAAGAGAGCCGAATGCTATCAGTAATTTCTTTGAAGTTAACCTCCAATATTGACACCAGATGTTAAAAAAAAAAAAGAATGCTTGCACTACATTCTGTCATTTCAGAGCATAAAAGAAGTGTGGGGGATGCAGAGAGCAGGCATTGATTTGTGAAGTACTTCTAACTTTGTCTTGGACAGACTCCAGGCCAGTCCTCAGCAATTTTTAATGCTTCAACTCTTACATCCTGGCCTTTTTGTCATGTAAAATGCTGCCAGAGTGACCTTGGGGAGAGGTTGACAACATTGGTCTTCAAATCAATCCAATTTCTTTTGATACAGGGCATATTTGTTAGTGGGACATTAAAAGGCAGTGTCATCGTAACTGAGCAGTGGTTGCAGGTTTAAGCGGTGTGGGGAGAGATGATGGTTTCCGATTACTGCTGGGAGCCTTTGCCTTTGTTTGGAGCCACAGGGTGTCTCTCCTCATTGCCCTTGCAGTTCAGACTAGTCGTGCACGGGGAGAGATGGCCTCAGGTGAAGACTCCAACATATCACTCATCACTGGGGACTGCAGAAGCACAGCTACAGAATGACTGTTAGCACTACAGGGCACTGTCTTCACATGTGTCCAGTGTCCTCAATTTCATACTGGTAGCAAGAGTATTTACGAGCTGAGGCTTTGTACAGTATGACATTGATAGCATTATTACACGATCAATAATTAATGGTGTCTTTTCTGCATTTCCTTTTGTGATGATTTTTTTTTATCTGCGATCTGTGCTGTCATTTTGGCCAGAACTCTCAAGAGACTATCTTGGTATAATGAAGGTTAAAGTGGGAGTATTCTATATTTTTATATAAACAATGGGTGAAACAACAAGGCATAATTTGAAAAGGGAGTGATGAACTCAGAATTATTACACGACTCAGCAGTTATCCTCTGCTCTACAGAGGTTTTTAACGTCTCTTTGCACGTTGTTTTGGTTTTACGGCCCGCAACTTTACATCAGCACCATGTACAACCACAGTAGGCAATAATTCAGCAATAAAGCTCTGATAGACTCACTGTAAGCTACCTGTCCAGCAGTAAACAGCAGAGAAAGCAGACATAGTGGAGAATTTAAGAGATAGATATTTCCCTCAGGAGTTGGTAGAGACTAACAATAGGTTTAAAGGAGAGTGAATGTTGGAATTACATGCATTAGGTGGCAAAATCATGACTCTAAAAAACTATTATCAGTTAATCATATCTACTTACGATATATTATGATAATGTGTTAATATGCTGTTTAACTATATAATGCCCCTATGGTATCTTCTTTGTAATGAGTTGTAAAGCTGCTTGATATGGTTGAAATCAATATAAAATTAAAATAACACTATAACACTACAATTATTTTAACGATGTCACACCATGCCAAATATATATGCAAAATTACATTCAGCGAACTGTATTCTACTCTTAAGGGCAACACATACAGGCCTTGTGTTTTTATATCCATAGCCCTAACTGGACACACACAAGTAGTTGTGATATAGAAGTTGGGATATGTTAATCTGAACAACAAATTTCAATAAAATTGCATTTTCTGGCGCGTCTCTGCAAGAAAAAAAGTTGCTAAGTCGTAACCTCCGGGAAGGAAAATGAAGCCAACACAGAAGTGCCAAAGACTGCAGTTCCTCGAATGACCACTTGAGGCTGTCTCCAAAAGTGAGTCAATCCCAATAGACTCCCATGTAAAAATGCCCAACTTTACAGCAGAAATAAATATGTTTGTAGCCTGGTACAAAAAAAACAATTTTTTTATATACAGTGACTCACTTGTTAAAATTGTATTAAAGTTATGCATTACATGAGGGCAAGCTGCTACAGACCAGCATGCACCACACCCCACCTCTTTGACCATTTTTGGATTAGCAGCGAGTCAGGCACTGCCAAGATGGCAACGGCGGAGCAGCCCACTCTGAGTTCTAAACCGCTCTTAAGAAATCTATGGGTGACGTCATGGAGGCTACATCCATTTTTATTTACAGTCTATGGATGTCGCCTGTGCATAGGCTTGCAATAGGCAACAATTGGCACGGGTGTTCAGATGCACATTATATTGCTACTTGTGTGTGCTGCTCTTGATGCATTACATCAGACAAAATGCTTCAGGCTTGTACAACTGAGGCTGACTTGCTTGGAATCATTAATTCAAGCCACAGAATTTTGTAAAAGAGCAGGGTGATGTGATTATATCATCGCAATACGATTCATGTGAAAGTCGGTAAATGATAAGTAGCATTTATTTTAGCTGAACAAGCTCATTTGAATTTTCATTATGAAAGTGGAATTCCTGGAAGTGAGTTTCCTTTCATGAGAATTTGAAAAGAAGTCTTTAAGCAGAAGCCCAACAGTTAAAAAGAACAGGAATCCATCCATTGTGCTGGAGGTGATGGATAATTCCTCCCTGCTTCTCTCATTGCTCCAGCATGAAGACAGAGCCGTGCGCCACGGTGAACTTTATATAAAATACATGATGAATGCAGGCGGGATGAAAGACAATGCGTTTCAGATGTCATCTACAAAGGCAAACATGATAAATGTCATTGACTGTGCTATCATTACAGTGGAGCAGTTACAGTAGTAGGTGCAGCAGAATTGGTGTGTGTGTGTGTGTGTATGCGTGTGTGTGTACGTGTATGTGTGTGAACATCACGGTTCATGCCAGCCAAATAAATGTCAATGTAAAAAGAGAATTAAAGATTTTCATTTCCCAGAGGCGGCGCTCTAATAAACTTGATCTCTCATTTTGTTTGCAATTTGTCCTCCTGTCAGGATTTGATCATTTGCCAGCCTCTGCATGTCATGTTAAACCATTTTATAGTGATTAAGGATGGGAGAATGCCTTCCCCCGTGGTATAATTCTCCAAAAAGAGATGTCAATTTGTTATTGTTCTTTTTTTTTTTTTTTCTCCCTACCCTTCATTTGGAGCCTTTCATCACACCACCGCTTCAAACGTGGCTTTTAAGAGCTGGGAGCACGGGAAATGGCCCTTTATTTAGCTGCCACTGACACTGCTGAACTACACTGGGCTTTTGCTTATACACCCATTAAAGCAGTAATTAAGATCATTGTGCCCTGAACCTTAACGGTGAGGAGATCTAATAAACGATCATTCAGCAGGGGTTGCCACTCTAATCGCTGATAAGGACTTGATAAAGCCTGACTCGGCTTCTCGGCGAGTTTTAGAGCTCTCAAGGGGGCAAGGCAGGCAGATTTCAAGTTTGAAAAAAAAAAAAAAGCCCTGATCTATACATGTTAATCAAATGAGGTAGAGAAAGAAGTGAATACTGGATATAAGACAAAAGACTCTTTTCTGTTATTTTTTTTTCTAAAAGATATGGTAATTTGTCATTCACCAAAGTTAGATTAAACATTGAAGAATTATTTTAAGATGTACTTGAAGAAATTTAAATAGTCTCCTTAAAAAGCGGGATGTTTATATTCTGCCCCTCATAATAGACAAGTCAATTAACAGCCTGTGCTATGAGAGAGACCTCCTCCTTTTCCCTTGGCATCTCTCGCTGAAGTGTTTTCTTTCATGTCTCTCTGAAAGGATATTGGTTGGCGATGATCTTTTGCCTGTGGTTACAGTAATTACAGGCATATGTATTTTTTTTCTAACTCAATTGTGAACAAAGATGCTGGTTATGATAGGGAAACAGATTGAATGTCAACTTGCTCCTAACCTGTCGCGTTTGCCAAGAAAGCGGTAACGTTTTCCTCTCCGAGGCTCGGAGTTTGGCTGAAACGCAGCAGGAAACGTTCCAGAAGAAGTATTCTCGGGCAAGTTTCTCACACAAAGATGTTGTACTTAAACTCTGTTGAGTCCTTTCGCTCATGCCTTTTAGCAAAATAGTCATGTGTAATTGAGCCACTTGGCAGCTCAGTGTTTAGAAATTATGTATTAATTGTTTTACTTGTGTAGATGATAAAGTGAGACTTGAATCAAAGTTAATTTTAATGACCTGCCAACTATTTGATCCACCTGTTATCTGTCAAAGCAACAGTATTGAGCGCTGGAACGCCACCAAGTGAAGCGTGTCAAAACAATGCTCCATATGCTCATTTTCCAATAAAGGCTAGGTCATCTTATTTGCATGTACAGTCTCTTTTTGTACAGTCAGTGTTGTGCTGTGAATTGGCATTGTTCAAAAGAATAGTCAATAATAAAGGACTTAATTGATACTCATTTCAAAGAGACGCCTGTTGAAAGAATTTCTCAAGTTTAATCACCACCGTTCAAGAGTTGTAATGAGGGAATTATGAAAAGCGAATTAACAAAAGCACACAATTATAGCTTTACTGCAAGGAAGTATTTGAATTCCTTCGAGTTTCTTCTCCATTTTTTTTTTTTTTTTTTTTGTCCCCTGTTGCAGTTTACCTGTCAAAGCATAGCCATACTGCACCCCCACGTATTCACTACCAATCTGCTGCTTCGCTCATTTTTATTAAACCAAATTCTAGGATAAAGAATATATTAATGATTTAAAAAAAAAAGTACAGCGAGTTTTATTCATTGAAAATAATGTTGTGGATGTCATTACAGTTAAATGTGAAATCAGTTCAGCAAAGTGATGTTTTCAGACGTTCGACAAGCCAGTAACAACAGAGTCAGAGTATTTTGGCAGGAGTGTTTTTTTCTTCTTTTTTTTTTTTTTTCATTGCCATTTCCATGACAGATTTTTGCCAATGAGATCTTTGTTACAGATGGCTGGGGGATTGTTGGCCTGTAACTTGAGTTAACATGTCAGTCAAACTTAGTAATTCACATCAGTGAGATTATGTGAACTTTCCCCCAGCAGCAGAGAACAAACTCTGAATGTGATAATAGAAGCAAGAGGAGTATGGGATGTCTGTTGTACCATGTTTATGTAAGTGCCATTAACCAGCATCATGCAGCCCACAGTGGACTAATCAGTCAGGAATGTGAATAGGATGTCTTTTAGGTGCTGAGATTCAAATTCACATGTTCACATCTACATGATTTACAAACAGTTTAAAGGGTTTTGAAAAACATCTCTCTGTTGTCATATTCAAAAAAAAGACTAAAATATCAAAGTACAAGTCCAGACACATGTACCTGCTGAGCACTCCCTCCAGCATCTGAGAGTTTATTTGTGGTTATGATTTGTGGCCAAAATTAATGAATTTGCAGCAGTTCTAAACAAAAAAGGCAGTAAAATTTGAACCTATTTTTAAGTTATTATTTTGGATTGAGTATGTTGTATAGATTGTAGCAAAATTTGCAATGCTTAAATTTGGGTTACATGAAATTGACTTGACTTTATTTAAACAAGACTGTCAGCCTCTGTGAAGCTTTACTTCTGTACAATGTTTCTTTAAGCTAAATGCTAATTTCAGTGTTGATGTTTATAATGTTAACCACATTCACCATTAGTTTAGCATATTAGCATGCTAATATTCGCCACTTATCACTAAAGATGACACTGATTTTGACCTGATGATGGCGCTATATGAAAAGTCAGAGTTATTACAGTTCATCCTCTGGGAACCATGAATGTCTGTAAATAGCAATCTGAGATATTTCAGAATGGACCAAAGAGGACCTACCATGCTAACCCTGATACTGTAAGCAAACTTGTCTCAGCCTATAAAAGGACTTTTGTGGACATCAAGGCTGCATTTTTGGGTGGTTCTCAATTTGTTTATTTTATCCTGAAATTTCCAGAATTGAAAAATTAGGTTGAATTGGGTTTTTTTGTGTGAAATAGATTTCGACTTTTGAGTTAAACACACAACAAACAACACCATCAACGCAAGCGTTTCAATATACACCAAAGTACAATTAAAGAGTTTCCCAATTCCCAGTGAAATGATTTTTTAAAGGATTTTAATAAGAATCCAAAAACAGAGCTGTTAATTGCTACCTGACACCTCTGTATGCATGTGTTATCACAAAGATGAGCGTTACCTCAGGTGAGAGGTTACCTGGTGGCAAACTGTCTTACTTAAAAGACCTGATTCTTCCCTGTGCCGCCCCCACTGGAGAGAGCAAGCATTTTATTTTAACTTCTGTAAACATATTTACACACAGTTGTTTCTATTGGATTTCTTGGCTCTAATAAACAGCAGAAGAATCTGTGCTGAACAAGTGCAGCAGCTTCAGATTTTAAAGCATGCCGTTTTATAGCCGCAAAGTGCATCGCATGAGCACGACCACATCTAACGACTTGAGTTCCTTAACTGTGGAATAACTGACAAACTGGAATTTATTATTGGCACATTTTTCATGTGCGGTTAATCATTTCAAGAGGGAGGAGGATTCTCAGGCTTCATCTGTGGCATTAATTAAGCAAAGTCGTTATGCTACTAATTAGCTGATCCTAAAAGGATTCTTGTCTTATTGTAATTTATTATCAAAGTGACAATCAGCTGCTTTCCTTTAAAGAGAAAATGTGTCATTATGAAAATACAATCTAACTCTTTATCTGATACATCTTCAGTACCTGACCCGTAATGCATTCACATTCTGCTCTATAAGATGTCATTTTCAACCACAACTTGAGTTTTGCTCACAATTTTCTTTGACATCAGGTGTTGAGCATATGCTCGGCTGCTGGTTGTGTATCTTTTTGCCCTGTAGGACAAGGATAGAAATGTATTCAAAGATTGATAAGGTGGGGTGTCTCATCTGCAGCTCAGATATTCTGTGAGCCTTTGTTAGATTAGCAGGGAGCCTCATTAAACAACTTTTTTGTAGATTTTTTTTTTTTCTCATGTTCTCCTTAAACTCCCAACCTTTTTTTGTCAATAAGAGGTCTGTCAGCCTCCTCATGTTCCTTTTATCCACATGTCAGTCTTTTGTCTACTGCACCTTTTTGAAGGTTCACGTCGGCACCAGAGCCTTGGATTGTTTGAAGATTGTGTGAGTGGTTTAGATTGTTCTGACATAAGTTGCTGATTTAATGTCACTCTACACCTCTAGACTTTGTCATCTGGTAGATTTTTGTTCCCCCCCCTCCCCCCTCTCCTTTAAACTGGAAGTCTCTTTGAAGTGCATATGCTACTGATAATTGAAGCAGTATAATCCACTGAAGATAATAAGAGACCCTCATTTAATGGATTCCGTTTTGAACTGGAACGACTCACAGTAACTGCTCCTGCATTGTTTTTAATTTATCAGAGCGCTCACCTAAAGCTTTAGGGATGTTGATATTTTTTGTATTTGATTATCTGTTGCTTTTGGAGCATTTACTCAGAGTCAGTGCAGGACATTGCTTTATTTACACAAGTGTCCAAATAATGTCTAATTTAACTAGTCTTTTGTGTTGAAACAAATTCATCCATTGACAGAAAAAAAACAAAACAAAAAAAACTGAACATTTCTGAATATACAAACAAGCAATTTAAAGATTCCACTTTGCGCTCTTTTTGAAATAATAAAAAAAAATTAACAAGACTTCAGGTGTCCAGCTATGCTAGCAGCTCTTTGTGGCTGCACTTAGTCTCGAATTTAAACATAGCAACTTGGAGCTAAAGGCTAACGCCAGCATGCTAACACACTCGCAGTGACAACATTAACATGCTAATGCTAAGCATGTGGGTGTTCAGTATAATAGCTTAGTGTGTTAGTGTGCTAACATTTACTAGAAAAACACTAAACGGATTGATTTGTTGCAATCCATCCGGTAGTTGTGGAGATAATCCATAGATTATCCATACAGCCATGAGACTAGCAAATATTCAGCTTTGGTGATCATAATGATGCTACGTGAAGTTTCTCGTTCTATTAAGGTTGAAATCTTAATCTCTTGAAAGCTTTGAGTTACTTAACTCTTACTCAAGTCATAATCTTCCATTGTAGGATACTTGTTTAAAAAAAAACAATATTGAATGCTAAAGAACTAAAATCAAATTACCAATTATAACAAAGCCTTGCTGTGCAAAATCAAATATGAATTTTGTTATAGTTACAATCAAAGAAATAATGAGGCACTTGGGGGGTAAGAAAAATAAATTAAAATGCTAGCTTTGACCTGTAGTTAACAGCTTTCCTGTGTCGTGACCACAGGTGAGAAGGTGACCATGTTCCCTGTTTTGGACATCGACCAGAACGCTATTGTGGACACTAACGGCGCAGGAGACGCCTTCGTGGGAGGTAATGCATGAAAATTCTTCTCTACACAGCTTGACTTCCATGTATATTCCCAATTAACCTTTGATTCTGGTCAACTATGTAACACAGTAATGTCTACAGATTATATGAGTGTGACATTTAGCCTGCTGTTTTTACTCCGTACGAGCTCATCATGGCACCACATAAAACAGTCATCATCTGGGTCCTGTTGTGGATGAAACAGCGTTGTCCCTTTTTCCAGAAGCCATTAGTACTGACTCGTATTAGTACTAACTGCTCCCCAAACTATTTTGGAAGTGATGGATGCTTAAAGGTTGGCCTTTGCTCCTCTGTCTACCCAGGATTCCTCTCTGCGTTGGTCCAAGAGCATGCATTGGAGGAGTGTATCCGGGCCGGACACTACGCCGCCAATGTCATCATCAGACGGGTCGGTTGCACCTTCCCAGAGAAGCCAGACTTTCACTGATGCATCCGAGCACTGCTCATTTGTCTTTCCCACAAGATACTTGGATATGTATGCTTCTTCAGGATTTTCTGTACATTTTTTTCTATTTACAGTGACTGACTGCATGGGACTAAGTGCTGCAGCTTGGATATTTTATTAAGCTCAAATAAGCAGCTCAGATGTTTTAATACAATCATAACAATGTACTAGTATCAAATGTTGGAATATTATGGTCATGTTAAAAGGAGTATTCCACTGAAAATCAACTTTTTGAGTATCAAAAACTCAGCGCCTATAGATGTGAAAGGTGGAAACTTCCCAAACCACTCCTACAGCATAATCGGCTTCTCCACCATTGATCCATTTGTTCTCTATAGTTAAAATTCATAGTTTCTCTTTTCAGGAAGTAGTGTATTTAGTGACTTATTTGCTAAGTGGCGATAGTTTACATCATACTGACGATCGGATCAGTGGTGGAGAAGGAAATTATCCTGCAGGATGGGTTTGCAAAAAGTTTCTGTGGACATGTAGCTCGATGTAGTAGACATGTAGACATGTAGTTTGTTTCTTGCTCCTTCATGGAGGAGTTCCAATCGATTCTAATGATTACCCAAGAGTCAAGGCCAAAAATACCTATTTAAACACTCATAGAAACTTCTCAAACCATCACTCATGCGTAATCTACTTCTCCACTGATCCTTATGCTCAATATGTCCCTAATTATTAAAGCTTCACCAATAAATTGCTAATTCCACTGCTTCTGAGCTTTGAAAAGCTAATAGCGTGAGAATCGTCCTTCACAAAATGGCGAGCTACAAACTTTGTTGAGCCTCCTTTCAGGCCTGCAGGTGCTGAGTGTTGTGATACTGTAGTCTATAAAATTTAGTAAATTTTCAGTTGAATATTCCTTTACTATTCAGCTGTAATACTGCAAAAAAAAAACATGGATTGGGGTGCCATTATGAGTGGCTGTCCAATATCAGGAAGTGAAAGTTTTAACAGGACAAAACTGGAAAGAATGTTTTTTTGTTATTATACAAATAAAACAATATTTAACTCATCCTGTCGAGATACAACTATTGAAAAAACATATGATATTTTGTTTTACCAGCAGCTGAAATTTCTGTAAATACACCAACAACAACAACAAAAACAATGTTATAACACACTGGTTTGTGGATTTCCCCATTATTTAATCAGCCAGAGGCTCCCTCGTGCTAATCACTTTTGGACAGCTCAACACCCCCCATTATGGAGGGCACAGAGGATTGGGGGGTGGGGGGGTTGGGGGCAGGACCAGCCTGGTGTCCTGGCTCCGCTCAGTCACCCCCCACTCTTGCTCTTTGGGTCCTAACTGGACTCTCGGGGTCTGGAGCTGCACGGCAGGGCTACAGGAGATCATTTTTCTCAGTTTAGGGATTAGTGGTTGCTCTTCGTGGCGATCATTAGAGGGACCTGAAAATTAGGCTGATCCTTTAGACCCAGCTGTGCTGTCGCTGGGGGTTGGAGACAAGGATCAGAGGGTGGCCCCTCCCCTTACACCCCCCACCACCCCCTTCCCACTGACTATGGACCAGCAGAAGTGTTGGGCAGTGTCTCAAGTGTTTTGTGGAAAACAATTCAACACTCATCTGTTCTACAAAGGAGTGAGCTTGAGAATAACATTTTTGATGCCCTAGAACAACCTGTTACATCATATTGTCTTTTATTTTCTCCGAGCATGTCAGGAGGAATCCAATTTTTACTCTCCCTGCACTAGAGCTCAGTTTTCTGTAATGAGGCATAGTTTATGCATTTATGCTAATCGGGGCCATCTAGGTGAAAACATTCTCCAGCCAAAATGTTATTAACAACTTTGAGACACTTTTTTTCATCAGCATTTTTTAAGGTTTCACACAGATGCGCTTTGAAAAGGACCACATTTCTGATTGGGCAAGATCACACTCCATGGCAGCTGGTTCATTTGCTTCTCAAGATGACAGATGGCAAAACACAAACACAAAAAGAGGGAGCCATGATTAAGTAATGAGAATGCCTGCCACAATAAGGAAACTACTAAACATACTTTTCTCACTTTTCCTGGTAAACTTTTGCTTTGCTCAATGAATGCAAGATGTGGAAAAACAAACATAGAATGTGTGCATTTAATTTACATTTTATAATACTATGCTATCTGTTTTGTAAGATAATGAGCTGTAGGCATTTTGAAAATGTTTAATGCCAGTTTTATTGTGTAGCAGCAATCTACAAAATCTCTTTTCATTTACTGTTTTGAGTTCAACACGCTGTAAACAACTTTGAAGTAGGGGGAGGAAAAACTTGACTTTGTGATATTTGCCTACAAAAGTGAGTTCACGACCAGAATATATTTTTCTGAATGCAGGCAAAGGAGTAACTGGGGCCCTGGCCAGTGTTTTGCCCCGCAGATGGGCAGCAGTGTTTGTGAACACCAGTGTGGCAGTTGGCAGGGATTGAGGAGGGGGATGGGCAGATTGCAATGGCACATGCTCCAATTCAAATTATCCCTGGACCCATGCAGCAGTGGAGGACCTGCTGGGGCCCAGGGTGGCATTCATTATAACCAGACACAGGCAGGTTTGGTCAGTGCCTCCATCATGACACCAGTCCTACATGCATCAAATCTGAACCCTCTTCATTCCCATTACAGCTGCTTTGACAACAGCAACTCAGTGAAATAACATTTTATTTGCATGTATTTACCACAAATTGTCAGTAAATAGTTTGATATAAATGTCAAGGACTGAATGGCAGGAAGATACTGAATGAACTGAATCTACTGAAGCAGTGTAAATGGGACGAACGGGTAAACAGAAAGCATCCACAAGGTCATCAAGGTAAAGTGAGGTGCAGCTGATGAAGATGCAGCATAATGATACAATGACAAGACTATGAAAACATGAATTAAATCAATCCAAATCAAATTACACATCAAATATGTCTTTCTAGAGGGGCTAAATGTTTTCATTTGAGATCTTTTCAAAGCTGCCTGTAGAGTACAGTATGTGTTTGTAATCTGATGGGAAGTTACCAATTATCTCTCTAATTACATCTGTATTACTGCATGAAAAATGAGCTTTCTGGCATTTCTAATGCTGCCATAGAGTTAGTGAATGAGCGAGGGGAGCGCAAATCTAAAGACTGAAAATTTAATGATCTACATTATTGCTAACAACTTCTGCTCTTCCTTGGGTATGGTGAAGTTAATTAGCAGATTAGGGTGTTAGTGTATAATATCCCATACTGCCCTGGGTTAAATTGGCCAGTGCATGAAATAGCTCATTTTGAAATAAAAGTCTGGATTTATGTGTTTATGTCAAAATGAATCACATATGATCTTATATCTGCTGCACATCAATGGAATTTAAAAATGCCCATAGGGAATAAATGTTAATAGGAGTGTTATGACATAAAAATGTTATGTAGCCTGCCGAGACTAATCCACCAGAAACATGAAGTGTAAAAAATGTTCCTCTTGGCTCATCACTGGACATGTTGATGGAGGGGGGAAAAAGTGAAATTGACAATATCATTGTAGGAGCGCACTAAAGGGGCGACGGTCCGCTCCACTACACTGAAGTAGGGATGTCTACAGTGGAAGAAGAAGAAGGGGGAGGGTACCACTTTGTCACAGGCTGCTATGTAGATTAACCTTTCAATTAGTTGTTATCAGGTCCTCTCCATGTCTCGGCGCAAGCTTTTCAGCCTTCGTTTTAAGAGATCAGATCCCACGAAATCGCTTGGATATGTCGCTGCACATTTATCCTTCGACGTTTCCCCGATAATGAAGAGGAGTAACCGAGGGGGGGAAAAACTTGAAGAGGTAAACTACCAGCAAATATTTACGGTAGCCTGTGCCCTCTTTTTTTTCTTTCATACTAGTTATATGTTTATCCTTGCATGAAACTTGGCATTAATTTGTTGTGCCTTCTCGCCCACGGCGGCGGCAGATTACAGATAGGTGGGTCGGTTTGTGTAACATCTAACAAAACGGCGTGAAAATCCAAAGAGGCTGTGTATCATTTCCTAATATAATATGGAAAAGCAAAGCGGAGCTGAAGCTGAGAAATGGGAGCTAAAAGAAACTAGCGATACATAATTGAGAAGCAGTGATGAAGGAGCTACTCTCCCAGCAGTCGTGTTAACTTGTATTCCCCCCTGAACATCTTTTTTCCCTCCAGGGCTCACTATTTTTCCTCATTGGAGATATTTGATAGTTAATGGTGATAAAGAGGTCATGCCATCATTGCACAGCGCAACACAGGACGTTAATAATTTCGCTGGCAGACGTGGAGCGAGCAGAAAAACCTACTTTTCAGCTTGACGGAACATTTATTTATCGCCCTCAATTTAACGTCACATAGTTTAAATGTTAAACATCAGGAGAATTACGGCTCCTCTCGGGAGAAATAATGAAAAGGGAGGAAGATAAAGACGAGGAAAAGGCGATAGCTTAGACACATTTAGCCTGCAGGAGTCTTGAATATGCTACCTGGAATTTATTTATTTTTAAAGAAAAAATTAAATGTGTTCCACTTTAAATCAGCGCGTGAGCCTTTGCAGGTTTTATGCAAACAAATGATAGATTTAACAAACAGCCAATTAAAGTCTAAAATGATCCAAATCACTTTCAAGTGTAACCAACTGTTTCAAGGAGGAATCCAAGTAAAGGTGGGCCGGTGTTAAACGCTTTGCAAATGAGGTTAAATATTTATCTCATTTAATTACAACTCAACCAGTTTATGCTTGTTATGGTGTACTTATAACTTAATAAAATGCTGTCGTTGCGGTCGGTGCTGTAGGTTAAGATATTATGTACGTTGGAGGGAAATGATATCAATTCATCACTGAAGGCACCTTAAGAGGCGGGTCAATTGAGTGAAGTGACAGATCATACAGCCAGTGCCGTGCCTCTTAGAGTGAGCTCATACATAAAGATTGACATGTGCTTTATCAAACCAGAAATCGGATCTTGTCTTTACAGCCAATATTGAAGTTGCTAGGGAGGGCACATTAGTGTAGGTAAGGTTTAATGAGACTCCATTGGATTGTAATCAGCGTCATGTCGGATTCATGTAAACTACAACATTGTAACAAAATGGCGACTGTTTAGGTGACATCAGTAATGCTGGCAACACTGTCATTTATCTGCTCAACTCAGCGGAACACAACTCTAGGTTTGTAACGTAGTTATTACCGGTTTCTTCCTTCGTTAAACGGCTCGGTGTTGCTTTCCAGACGTGTCTTTAACGTTTAATAAGGACAGCTGTCAGGAAAGTGAGCATTGATTATGGAGCTGTCATTAAACCTCGCGCTGATCAGTTTGTCTTAGCGGACGTCGAGCTGTCAAAAGTCGCGTGCGGACAACTAACGGTTAAACTTTACGTACGTTCTCCTCTTTTTGGCGTTTTTAGTTTGTTTGTGTGTTAGAAATGTGAAATGTCGCGGTGACATTTTGGAAATTTTCAATGGAAATGTTAACTTTATGTCGGAAAGGATTCTGAAACCGAAAATGTTCTTGTGTCGAGGAGGCTGTTTATACTTTTCCAGAACTCGGTAGAAGTTTCTATCTACCTGTCATGGTGTGAAAACTTATTACTTTTACAAAATAGTCTCTTTTGAAATGGACATCTGGTTTGGTGTGTGGATTATACTGTCAGACTATGGATTAAGTCTAATTTCTTTAGCAGCCATGACAGCTCCTGCATCTGTTTTTATCCATCTGTTTCTCATGTTTTAGCACATCTTTAAAGTCCTGCATTCCTCTGGCTTAGCCTTTATATCCATCCAGTCTCCTGTAACCTAGTTTACAGAATGTGAATAAGAAGCAATAATTACACAAGAGTTTGCTACTTAAAAATTACAAATTTGGTTTTCTCTCTTTCCTTTTAGGTTTGATCTGGGATTGAATAAATAAAGCTCCAGGTCAGCTGGTTACTACCATTGTGGAATTTACTAGTGCCAACTTTTCCTGAAGTTCAATGTCAGATACCCAGGATTGAGAAGAAATATGTGGATGCTGGCGTGGAACGTATCTTTTTGACCTTATTAAGGATGTGGATGTACCCAGTGTTCAGCAGCAGAAAGGAGGAATCTGTATGGATCACATTTTTGTGTGTCTAATTGTTCAACCATGGTAAAACTTGCAAACCCTCTGTACACGGAGTGGATTCTTGAAGCAATACAGAAAATTAAAAGGCAAAAGCAGAGGCCCTCAGAGGAGAGAATTTGTCATGCGGTGGCCACATCTCATGGACTGGACAAGAAGACAGTCCTTGAGCAGTTGAAATTAAGTGTTCATGATGGCTCTATTCTCAAGGTTACAAATAAAGGGAGCGCCTCCTACAAGGACCCAGGAAATCCCGGGAGAGTTGGATCAATCCCACCTGCGAACGTGTCTGTGCCATCAAAGGAATCTATATGGAATTCAAGCGATCTGCGCCATATCGATTGGAATAAAATACTTAAGAGGGCCATTGAGGGCCTGGATGATACCCATGGCTCCTCACTAAAAAACATCGAGAGGTATCTGAGGAACCAGGATGACCTCTCAATCATTGTTGATAACCCTGCTTTCCGGCAGAGGTTACGGCTGGCAGCCAAGCGGTCAGTTAACAACGGCAGGTTGTTAAAAAATGGCCCGCGGTACAAGCTCAGCCATGGCAGTGTGGATGGAAGGGGCTCCAGGTGTCCAAGTACTTCCCCCTTGGTCCTGTCATCAGTGACACTCCTCCCCCATGAGCGAGACCAGGTACACACACCTCGGCCTTTGCATAATCACTCCTTTTCCTCTGATGCCGATTCCCATGTCACTCTGACCTTTGCTGTGTCTTACATTGCTGTTACCCCAAAGGGAGACACCCCAATGACCACAGTAGTAAAACTCCTGCCAAAATAGACTGGTTATTAATGTGTTACTGATTTAACAAGAACTAAGGACTCTTTGGAACTTTAATAGTGACATTTCCATGATATCACCACCAAGGGGGAAGGGTGAAAGCTAAGGCCACCAGTAAAAGGAATTATTCTTGATAGGTCTTTTACAACTGTGGTCTTAATATTTGGGACTCTAACTTGGCAGATCAGAAGCAACGCCATCTAGAGTGTGTCCCTTTGGGGCTGTGTTTCTGTTGGTCTCCATAATAAGAGAGCTTGGATAATCAGAAAGTCATGCTGACAGTGTGTGGTGGGCAGTCTGCTGTAGGCTTCCCACAGGTTATGTAACTCTAGCCTAATGACCTTAAGGGATGTGGCTGGCTGTCTTGTGAGTTGCAAAGCATTAGTGAACAGAATTGGGACATTTTATTGGTAATTTGCAAGGGCAGGAGTATAAACTAGTCTTCCCAAATAGGACTGAGAAATGGGAGCTGAAGTATGTGTGGTAGGACAGAATATTCTCAGACTACATGCAGCTGTTATGACCTTTGTGCTAACTGAGATGCCCCAGAGAGGAAATAAAACCGTATAAACAAACTTCCAGGTTGCATTGTTTCCGCTGCTTTGGCACCTCAGGGGGGTGGTTTATATTTTACAGAGATTGTATCTCTATTACTCATGCTTAGCTATGATGCACACTGCAGATAAATATGTGTAAAATGACAATCTTAAAAGACACTGTCTTTTAAAAGCACAGAGGAGTGTGTCATGGAAAATAGTTTTCATTGCATGCAGTGTACAGTCATCTAGATAGTTTGTTGTGAAGGTCTTTTGCAGATTGTGTGTTGAGGCTTATCAAGGTGAAGTGCGGTCTAATAGTTCATGCACATGTTTTGCAGCTAAAGTGGTGAGCAGCATCAGGCTGTAGAGATGTCACCCTGCTCCCCACCAGTTTCACAGTGAATAATCAGGAAGCGACACCTTGATACTGCAGCCACAACTGTGACAGTGTCTGTGGTCTGGCCAAAAGTGAAACTGAGAACTGTTT